AAATATCTCCGCTGATTCCTCCTTGAAGCTATAAGAACGATGCTCAGTGATCACACCCCCCCAAAATGAAGATGCAGGCATCTCTGTGTCTGTGAGATAAGTGAGTCAAAAGAAGGATAACTCAGTTATCCTTAGAACTCGGAGGATAACTCACTACAGGAAATGATACAAAAATAAACAAAGTACCCCAAAAATATATTAACCCCTTAAGGACTGGACTGTTTTTTGCGATGTTGTACATTTGCGACCAGGCCTCTTTTTACACTTTTGTGGTGTTTGTGTTTAGCTGTAATTTTCCACTCTCTCATTTACTGTTCCAATACAAATTATATATTGTTTTTTTTTCAGGACAAAAAGGGCTTTCTCTACATACCATTATTTATATAATCTCATGTAATTTAATTTAAAAATAAAAATAAAAAAATATGATGAAAAATAAAATTTTTTTACTTTTACTTGAAAAATCTTTTACTCATCTACAAAAGCAAACGAAAAAAACTGCTAAATATATTCAAAATTTTGTCCTGAGTTTAAAAATACCTAGTGTTTACGTGCTTTTTTGCAAGTTATAGGGCTATAGGTACAAGTAGGATATTGCGGTTTCATTTTTAAAATTTATCAATAGTGACATTGTAACACTATTATCTGTCACAAATCTCTGAATAATACCCCACATGTACATATTTTTTTTTTAAAGTAGACAACCCAGGGTATTCAATATGGGGTATGTCCAGTCTTTTTTAGTAGCCATTTAGTCGAAAACACTGGCCAAAGTTAGCATTCATATTTGTTTGTGTGTGAAAAAAGTAAAAAACTAAATTGAACGCTAATTTTGGCCAGTGTTTGTGACTAAGTAGCTACTAAAAAAGACTGGACATACCCCATTTGCAATACTTTCGGTTGTCTTCTTTTGCAAATGGTATGCAATTATGGGGGTAATTCTCATTCCTGGGCTACCATACGCTCTCAAAGCCAACATAACCAACCTGGCCTTTTTCAATGTAAAAATATTTGACCCATATATTTGACCCTGTAACTTTCAAAAATGCTATAAAACCTGTACATGCGGGGTGCTGTTATACTCGGGAGACTTTGCTGAACACAAATATTAGTGTTTCAAAACGTATCACAACAATTATATCATCAATAAAATTGCTGTTTGTGTGTGAAAAATGCAAAAACAAGTCACTTTCACTGACAATATCATCGCTGTGATATGTTTTACTGTTTTGAATCACTAATATTTGTGTTCAGTCTCCCGAGTAAAACAGTACCCCCCATGTACAGGTTTTAGGGTGTCATAGAAAGTTACAGGGTAAAATATAGTGCTAGCAAATTAAATTCTCTGGACTTTCGACCTGGGTTGGCAAGCAAGTCCCTCAAATTGCAATCAATAAAGTTGCTTAATTATGTAAAAATATTACATAAATATGCACGTAGAATTTAAATATATATGCATATTTATATATTTGAAGTCTACGTGTATATTTATATAATTATTTATGTAATTTTGTATATAGACATATGTATATTTCGTATTATTTTTATATATATATATATATATATATATATATATATATATATATATATATATATATATATATATACACACACACACACACACACACACACACAATTTTATTCTAAGTGTATTTTGATATATATATATATATATATATATATATATATATAACACTATCAAAATACACTTAGAATAAAATTTCATATAGATATATTTTTTTTCATTTTATTATTATTTTTACATGTTTTTATTTAATTTAAATTACTTATATGTATTTTATAATAATATTTATATATACAGTATGTCTATATATATATATATATATATATATATACATACATACATACATACACATATATATAAATATTTTATTTTTTTATTAACATTAACTTTTATTATTTTTTATGATTTTACACTAGGAGGGAGACTGCCTGTCAGCACAGACAGTCCCCCTGTAGGCAGACACCTATTGTGACCATGTGATCGCTCTGTTGAGTGTTCACATGGCCCCATGGGTCCTAATCCGCCATGGGGAGACTGTCTGGGCTCCAGGCAGTCTCCCCACAACGTGAGCAACACTGATCGCCGCCGGGGGAACGACGACGATCGGGTAAGTACATTGGACCGTTAGGACGGTTCAGGACCATCACCGGTCGGCAACGCAAAAATGCTGATGACGGTCCTGAACCATCCTCGGTCCTGAAGGGGTTAAAACTGTACGGGAACCCCACAAGCCAGCCTGGATCTGAGTGCCCAAGTTGTCCAAATAGTGTTCAGATCTGTCTGGTTAGCCCAAAACAGTTCCAGGGAAAAATAGGCTGCGACCAGTCAACTTCCTGTGCGAACCCTGGTGCAGGCTCCTCCTGGCTCTTAGGTACTGAATGCTCCCCCTGGTCGGTAGTATATTTCTCTCGACCTGCGCTCTCCTAACTTGTCTGTGAGCGGAAAAGGCAGTGGTACCGTTACCGAGTTTGCGTATCCAAAAGGAGCTCCAGACAGTCGCCAACCATGTAACCGTTGCCTGCGTTAAGGAGACAAAATGGCCGCCATTCCCTAGAACACGTGCGTTCGGTCATACGAATGGCGGCCACCCAGGGAAAGTAAATGATATAATAAGTTCCTTTGAAGTAAATGAGCCAGAGGGTGGTTGAAGTTTGGTGGGTATAAAAGGGGGAAAGAGTCTTGGTTTGGGAAAAAAAACGGGGTACAGCAAACAAGCGGACTCAGTCTGCTACACTGTCATATACTAAAGAGTTTCTCTATGTTTGTATACACTCAAAATTGTTTTTTTTTTAAATACTTCCTTTCAAAACTCTATGAACGCATTATTGTATTTAAGAATAGTTTTGTAGTGACAGTTGCCCTTTAATCATCAGGTGACCCTATGCTTTCTTGGCCCCATTTAAAATCCCCAAGTGAATAATTAAAGGACCACTCTAGGCACCCAGACCACTTCAGCTTAATGAAGTGGTCTGGTGCCAGGTCCCTCTAGGATTAACCGTTTCTGCTGTAAACATAGCAGTTTCAGAGAAACTGCTATGTTTATAAATGGGTTAATCCAGCCTCTTAAACCTCTAGTGGCTGTCTCATTGACAGCCGCTAGAGGCGTTTGCGTGCTTCTCACTGTGAAAATCACAGTGAGAAGATGCCAGCGTCCATAGGAAGCATTATAAATGCTTATAAATGCTTTCCTATGAGACCGGCTGAATGCGTGCGCAGCTCCTGCCGCGCATGCGCATTCAGCCGAAGAGGAGGAGGAGAACTCCCCGTCCGGCGCTGGAAAAAAGTTAAGTTTAACCCCTTTCCTCTCCCCAGAGCCCGGCGGGAGGGGGTCCCTGAGGGTGGGGGCACCCTCAGGGCACTATAGTGCCAGGAAAATGAGTATGTTTCATGGCACTATAGTGGTCCTTTAAGTGCCTAGGGCCCTGTGGGATCTTACTCCATATCTGCTTTCACAACACTTAAATGTCCTTAAAGGACCACTATAGTGCCAGGAAAACATACTCGTTTTCCTGGCACTATAGTGCCCTGAGGGTGCCCCCACCCTCAGGGTCTCCCTCCCGCCCGGCTCTGGAAGGGGAAAGAGGTAAAACTTACCTTTTACCAGCGCTGGGCGGGGAGCTCTCCTCCTCCGATCCTCCTTCTCTCCTCCCCGTCGGCTGAATGCGCACGCGCGGCAAGAGCTGCGCGCGCATTCAGCCCGTCACATAGGAAAGCATTTACAATGCTTTCCTATGGACGCTTGCGTGCTCTCACTGTGAAAATCACAGTGAGAAGCACGCAAGCGCCTCTAGTGGCTGTCAATGAGACAGCCACTAGAGGATTAGGGGAAGGCTTAACCCATTCATAAACATAGCAGTTTCTCTGAAACTGCTATGTTTATGAAAAAATGGGTTAACCCTAGCTGGACCTGGCACCCAGACCACTTCATTAAGCTGAAGTGGTCTGGGTGCCTAGAGTGGTCCTTTAATTATTAGCAACCCCCCTCCCCTGTCCCACTTACACTTACCTGCTGTTCTGTTCTCCAGTTTAACTCACATGATGACCCCTGTGATTCTGTACTATTCACACTCAGCTCACACAAGGACACTTTTTTCCCGAGTCATATTGACTTTGTCCATTCTGCTTCTAGTCTACACTGCCCTGTGTGCTCACACTCACTTTGCCCCCACGCTGAGCATGGCTGTCACACTCACTTTGCCCCCACGCTGAGCATGGCTGTCACACTCACTTTGCCCCCACGCTGAGCATGCCTGTCACACTCACTTTGCCCCCACGCTGAGCATGGCTGTCACACTCAGGACAGTCAGACCATTTCCCGCAGTCACTCTCACACCATGTCCTCCTCACTCTTCTCGCCCAGTAATCCATGGCCCCTCTCACACATGCCATGGCAGCCTTTACATTGTAAACCAAGAACACTCACTGACCCAAGTGCTGCCTCAGATCAAACATTGTCTCCCACCGAAAGTGGGAAAGTGATCCGCACTCTGTGTTTAGGTGACACGGTCACTATGACGGACTCGGTTACCGTGTGAGGGCGGCTAATCTCTCGGTTACCTGGATGCAGTGTGTTGCAGTGTGATGATCCCGTTGTTGCAGTGTGGTGATCCCGTTGTTGCAGTGTGGTGATCCCGTTGTTGCAGTGCTGTATCGGATATCGGCATCGAACACAGGGAGAAAGTTAGGCTGCCGCTTGGTGGTTGCTATGGTGAAGGTAATTGCTTTCTTCCGGGTAAATTACAGGTCAGGAGTAGGTGAAAGCCAGGCAGGGTGTTACACTATGAATGGCTAAACACAAACTGTACTAGGGGTATACAGCACTGTGTATTAGGCTGTACACACGGTGTTATATCTCGAGATTTATGAATATTTTTAAAATATTTAATAAAAAGTGGTGTTTTTATTTATCGAACTGAAACTCACTGAGCTACCCAAAGGCATCACTCACAGCTACCCACACGCATGATACACAGGCAGCTAGACACAACACAGACATACACAACCAATAAAAACACACAGCCACTCCACAGTGGCTGTGTGTTTTTATTGGTTGTGTATGTCTGTGTTGTGTCTAGCTGCCTGTGTATCATGCGTGTGGGTAGCTGTGAGTGATGCCTTTGAGTATGTGTGAGTGATATGTGGAAATGAGTGGTGTGCGGGTAGCTGTGAGTGATGGGTGTGGCTGTGAAGGAAACTGTGAGTGATGTGTGGGTGTCTATGAGTGATTATGTGTCCTGTGTATGACTATGAATGGATAGCTGTTGACTGACCAGTAGCTGATGTTATGTGTGGCTGTGGATGATGTGTGTTGCTGTGTATGGGTAGTTGTATGGAGAAGCTGTGTTTGTTCTAACCAGTTTTGTGTTTGCCCCCTTCTTACCAGGGGGCTATGTTTCCTATTCTCTAGTGGCCCTGTTTTATTTTTTTTTCCAAATCATTTTTATTGAAGTTTTAAAATTTTGTATAACAAGTAATAATAATACAAACATTGTATTAGGGGTAGGAGAGGAAGGGGAACTTGGAAATGGGAAGGGGTATCCATCCATCATTGAAATAGGCATAACAATGTATATGGCAAAAATGTTGTACATCAATGCACTTTAACAATAAATATATATAAGACCACCATAAACTTTTTTGATTTTTTTTCCTCCCATTTATCCCAATTATATTTTAATATTGGGAAATAGTGATGTCCCGAACAGTTCGCCGCAGACTCATCATTGAGTAAACTTTGACCCTGTACCTCACAGTCAGCAGACACATTCCAGCCAATCAGCAGCAGACCCTCCCTCCCAGACCCTCCCACCTCCTGGACAGCATACATTTTACATCCATTGTGAAGCTGCATTCTTAGTGAGCTGTCCAGGAGGTGGGAGGGTCTGGGAGGGAAGGTCTGCTGCTGATTGGCTGGAATGTGTCTGCTGACTTTGAGGTACAGGGTCAAAGTTTACTCAATGATGCGTCCGTGGCGAACCGTTCGCGAACCGTTCGGCGAACAATTCGGGACATCACTATTGGGAAACCATGCATATTAGCTCTATGCTATAATTCGTGTGCCTTGTTTTCTAGAATAAAATTGAAAACGTCTCTGAGAGATGGCACATTATGTGACTTCCAATGTGTAGGTAAACAGGATGTAGCAGCGATCAGAATGTGTAGTGGCCCAGTTTTGCCTGTGTCAGGCTCTCTGGTGGTCCAGTTTGCAGAGTTTATGGTCTCAGGCATATGCAGATCACTGGCAATCCTTCAGTGCTGGGACTGCAAAGGAGATTTCAAAGTGACCTGCACTCGCCAGAGGTATAGACGGTATGCTCCCTCACAACCTTGAGGGGACACATAGGTGTTGCTAAGGAGGCTGAAATTCCAGATAAGGGTATTTTGGCCCGATCTCTACAGTTGGTGGAGGGGCAGAGTATTAGTGTTTTTTTTTTTTTTTTTTAAATTTTTGAATTTATTATTATTTTCTTTTTACACAGTTGTCTATTATAAAAACAAAAAAAACTGTAGTAGAATTCTACTTCGGGTTAAAAGGAGAGGATGCTAGAGAGCCGGACTTTGTTACAAACTCCCCAATTACCGTATATACCCTAGTATAAGTCGACCCGAACATAAGTCAAGACCCCTAATTTTACCCAAAAAAACTGGGAAAACTTATTGACTCGAGTATAAGACTAGGGTGGGAAATGCAGCAGCTACTGGTAAATTTCTAAATAAAATTAGATCCCCTAAAAATTATATTAATTGAATATTTATTTACAGTGTGTTTGTATGAATGCAGTGTGTGTGTGTATATAATGCAGTGTGTGTGTGTGTGTGTATGAATGCAGTGTGTGTGAAAGCAGTGTGTGTGTGTGTATGGGTGCAGTGTGCGTGTATGAGTACAGTGTGTGTATGTGATGCAGAGCCTTAGTGGTGGGTGGGCATTTTTATTATTTTTTAACTTATTATTATTATTTATTTATTTGTATATTATTAATATTTTTATTTTGTGTTATTTAAATTTGTATTTATTTATTTTCGTGCCCCCTCCCTGCTTGTTAGCTGGGCAGGGAGGGGGGCTCTCATTCCCTGGTGGTCCAGTGGCACGGGCTGTGTAGGAGGGGGGCTGGCAGCAAGCTGATACTTACCTTTCCTGCAGCTCCTTTCAGCTCCCTTCTCCTCCACTGTAAGTCTCGCGGTGTGAGTGCCGCGCAGAGCGTTGCCACGGTAACTCGTGGCAACGCTCTGACCCCGCGGCTCTCGCGAGACTTACAGTGGAGGAGAAGGGAGCTGACCGGAACGGAGGTGAAGGGAGCTGACAGGAGCTGCAGGAAAGGTAACAGCTCGCTGCCAGCCCCCAACATTACAAGCCCGTAAGTTGCCATAATACAGACATTGATTCGAGTATAAGTCGAGTGGAGGTTTTTCAGCAAAAAAAATGTGCTGAAAAACTCAACTTATACTCGAGTATATATGGTAGTTAAGTAGCATAGCATGATCACAGTGAATACCTGGCTGTGAATAATGGGATTGTTTCTGGCTCCCCTTTCATCCTGGAGAGCATAAGCTGCAAACTGTTCATGGGTAGATATGAGAGGACAAACTCTGAATGTCACTAATTAAATATGAATCCCAAAAACTGAGGAAAGAATAGTCAAGTTGAGATCATGGATGAGTTGGAGCTAATTTTCCCCAAGTGTTTCCATTCTGATTTAATGAAAAAAATGTGTCATAATAACCCTGTTAGACAGGCAAGGATATGTCAGGACATAAATAAGGGATGGAGTGAGCATTCATGCACACAGTCAAGGGGGGGAGGGGGGAGTGTCTGGTGACCATGTGCTGAGGCAGTCAGGGAAGATTAAAGCATCTCTACAACTGACTCCTGCAAGGCTTGATGCCATTTGCAAGGTAAATAGCTAAACCTGACGCACCTGCTTCGAAAGCAGAAGTCTATAATATTAGGCATTTTATTAATATTGTAGATATCTGTATTGATGTTTACTGGTGGTAGCGCCCAGCCCCCCCAGCTCCGTATAGTCTGTGACCGGGACATGGGACCCCGAGACTGCTGACCGGAGACCCCGAGAGCGCGCCGAGAGCGCGCCGAGAGCGCAGCAACTACTAACCCAGCATTTTCTATCATCAATAAAGTTTCCTTCTTGTTGGGAAAATACATTGGAATACTGCAATCTTCTTCTGCCACCTTCCAACTACCCAAGAAAGAATAGGAAGAAGGATGGGGACATCCTATAAAGAGTCCCACTGCGCTTCACATAAGAGCCATATGTTCTACTGGCTCTGGGCTTGTGAGTAACATTGCTCTATTGCCATCTATCATATTTTTATTTAACAGTATTATACTATGATATTCTGTTTCTTTTTCTAGAATCGTCAGATGTGTGTTCCACCTATTGTATGTATTCATTGTATTTCTATGTAAGTGGTATAAGGGGTTTCCACTTAGGTGGTTTGTGGCTGTTTTAGCTACCACACATACCTTTTCACTGTATTTCTACTATTTTACCATATTTTATTAATATTGACTCATCTGCATCAAAATCAAATTATTCTACCCAAATTATGTTTCCATGTCAGAATCTAGTCAATTTACCAAAAGAACTCACATGGTACTTTTGGTTTCAAGCTAAGTACTCGCGTCAAAACAGGAATGGATTGACGCATACACATCAAAACCAGGCCAAAATGTTTCTTTTAAGGACAGCATTATTATTAATAATAGATCACAGCTGCATCATTCTAGCCAGATAAAATATATGACGTGAACTATAACCTTTGTACCTTTTTAGAATATTCAAAACTGGCGCCCTGATCCAATGCACTGCGTATGTGTCAATAATGCTAAACTGACGCAAAAGGCTCAGAGTTATTTAAACCACTGGAAACCTAAGACCTGCACCCTTTTGTGCTTTCCTGACCCTTAAAAGGTTACTCCAACCACCATGACCACTTCTGTTTTTAGAAGAGGTCATCATGGTAGGACAAATAGACAAATCTGTAAGTTTCCATAAGATAGAATAAACAGCACAATCACAGGACAAGTCCAACGGATATCAGCAGGCTTAAGAATGACTGGATGAGATAGCATGGTAACAGTCAAGAAGTTTAATACCATCTGGAAAAAAGTCTCCTGTAGCCAGGAACTCAATGTGTTGTGCTGGTTAAAACAAAGATCTTAATTTATTCCTGCTTGGACAAATTACAACCTATTGTTACTTCCCAGTTCTTAACAAATTAACAAACAAATGGAGTGGGGGAGGGGATCAGAGTCTATTATTAGCTGATGCAGCACTTAGATATGTGGGGATATTTATGGGATAATAATAGTAACAGTGAGAATTGCCCACTATTTCAATTCTCAGATCCCAAAGAACGTTTATCGTGTTAAGTGGAATGTATTTCATATAATTAATCACAATGTATAAAAATAGATTTTATTTATGATAACAAATTAATAATAATAACATGTAACATGCATGACAATAATCAATGAATATCCAGTATAAAATGGTATGCAATACAAAGAAATGGGGATTACGTTTCAATGGCTAAACGGCATTATCTGTCAAGAATTCTGACGATTTATGACTATCTTTAACACAGACTTTTCACAGCTAAGAACAGAATTCCTCAGAGTGCAGCGTAAGGTCGTAAAGTTTAGCAGACAGTTAGAATAACCCTTTCAATGCTGGCTAGATCTCCTAGGTAATTAAGATCTATTCTTATGTAATTTTAAATAAAATAACATTTAAACCAGTTCACTAGTCATTTTCTTAAACCATCCATAAGAGAATTTACCACATTATATAAGCAGATTTTTAATTTGTCTAAAAGATATCTATCTTAATTTAGAGCAAATCAATACACCTGGATAAAAACAGCGGTATGCTAACACGTGATAATATCACATCAATATATAATTATTCTTAATTCCACCTGCAGAATGGAATGTTTATAACTATATATTCTTAGTTAACTAAGATTTCTTAATATGGAAATCTGACCGTGCTTTATCCAGTCATATATAATGCTATTAATACATTTTAATTAATTTAATTTAATTAAATGAAACCAGTATAATTACCAGTTGAGTAGATATTTCATCCGATTGGTAGTCTCTCTGCATGGAGGTGTTGGTTAGAAAGTCAGTAAATTCTAAGTGTTAGAGTTTTAGGAGTAGAATGTTAGTCTCAGATGTTGTCCGAGTTGGAATCCCCAAACTTCCAATTCCTCTCTTTTCTCTTTTGCATATCTTGCATCTGCCTCCTCTCCTGTATATCTATCTTCCCTTTGTCTTAACTTTTAAAGGGCCAGACTCTCTGTACATCATCAGTTGATAACCCAATAGAAGCACTAGAGGTGTGGTTATCTTCCAGATCGCAAATTAGTTATTTGGTCTGTAGAGGGCAGTCTTGTCCCACTAAACATACCTATCCAGGAAAGAGTTAACTTTTCCTGGTGGCTATTTTGACGTCATTTTGCGTTATCTTTATAGCGCCATAATTTAAAATTTCAAAGGGTTTCTTAAATTTTGTCCAGACTTAGCGTCTGCAATTCCTGCCATAATTTCTGATATGACAGATCATGAACTAAGTTTACCCTTTTCCATACAATGGTACCTTATATATATAGACAGTTAAATATTAAATTATTTAATCTTCTCTGTCACAATTGTCTGGGTTTAGATTTGATTATATTCCATTAGCATTTTAGACAGTCTATCCAACCCCCTTCCTTATCACTTGTTTGTATATACTATGCATTCCTCAGATCTGGGAAAGTGGTTAGCTTACAGATAGAAATCCTGTGTCTCTTTGTCTTTGTTAACTTGAAATAACAAAATGGAGTCTGGTCTGTTCAGAGTGACTCAGAATATACACTTTTAGTTTCTATCATAGCACAAAATGTCTGCCGATATAAATACTCTGACATAACCCCCCTTTAGTGCATTTCATAGCCAAAATTAATTTAGCTTATGAATAAGCACTATAGAAGTTACTAGACATATTGTGCAATCACATCATTTCTAACATAGGCCCGTGCGTGGAATGAACATTTTTGTATATATTTGTACCTGTAAGAGTTTTGAACTTTACACTTAGTACAATCAACCATAATATCATTATTATCATAGTACATTGTTTTCATTTGAAAAATGTCTTTGGGAGTTACATATGGTATGGTCAATAAAAAGCAAATCTCCATACGTTCCGGATCAATTAAGAGAGGTATAGCGCTCCCCATCTCAAAGGCCAGATTTAATTGCATAGGCTCAATTGTCTCTCCATCCACATTGGCAAGCATCGCATGAACAATATCCTTGGATACAAAATACAGAGGTATGCGTCCCCCTGCCAATTCGATCATTCCAGTTTGCACTTCGTCAAGAAAAGCAAGTGTGTGGAACAATATTGGGTCATGCAGAAATAGAAGTTCACGCTTAAATAAGTCATGACTTTGGTGCAACTCAGTGGATTTGGCAATTAATTCCGAATGCAAATTTGTTGTAACAACTGTGTCTTCCACAATAGTTAACACGTCTTGGAGAAGTGTTCTTTGCTGTTGTATCACCTGATGAATATCGTTAATGTGTTGCTTTAGCGCATAGATTTCCATATCCAGCTTTTGGACAGTAATAGAGTTGGCTGCAGACATTCCAGTTGCGACAACTGCACCGACAGTGGCACAAACTAATGCAACAATTATAGCGGTGAGGAACCTTTTGGGTCGGTTGCTCATCGGAATAGAACTGGATACAAATGGTTTCCGGGCTTGCTCCAAGATGTTTCGCACACGGTCCTGTGCTCTTTGGAGGTGCATCTGGTACCAAGTCTGTAACTCAGGAAGCTGCATCGATGAAATGTTGTATGCCTTCTCGATGGAAATCTTGGGGTCCAAGCTGATGAACACACGTCTGGTCAGGATCCTCTTCTCTGTTAAGATGAACCCTGGTGTCTCTTGAATCAGGATGCCGGAGGATGGTCCCATCTCTGCGATCGGGTCGGTCCGTAGCTCTTGGCACAGGAGCAGTACGATCCAGAAACACGCCACATCCTTCTTGGACATCTTTCGACAGTCACGGATCAGGAACTCGTTTCAGACTTATCTACTAATGATTCAAGGTTTGTTAAGCATACAAACTTATAACAGTGTGACATCACTTGGCCTAGGACAACACATTATTACGATTCATCAACATATGTATTCTGTCTAATTCTATTTTTATAACTTCATCCCTCACTACATTTATTACTGACTCTTCAGTAATTTGTCTATAGCAGTTAAACAAGCTAGTAACCTGCTTATAAAATGTAGTTATTGGATGGCAAGGAAATGGTTAATGACATGAACGTACATGAGATCATGGCACATCACAACATTTCACATCATACTATACCACGTGAATCAAGCATTCATCCAGGTTAGTCGTTCACCCTTCTGCATCCGAATCCACACCTATAATCCTTAATTGAGATTTAGGATGACAAGCACGCAACTGGTTAATGTGAACCCACTTTTCAATAAAATCACCATCCTTAGGAATTTTTATCTTATACGCTACTGGGGAAATTTTGTCAATAATGACATATGGCCCTTTCCAAGAAGGTAAAAATTTCTTTTCCTTGACTTGATTTCGCGCAAAGTTATACAGATAGACTTGATCTGTTATCTCATATTCCTTTTTCGTGGTTTTTAAATCGTAATAGGTCTTAACCCCTGTCGCTGCTTTTTCTAGATTCTTTTGGGCAAAAGCAAACGCATGCTGTAAATGCTTGCGCAAATCTTCGATATACTGATGCGTAGTGGCAGCATTGATCAAGTTATGATCCGAAGTACGATATAGTAAATGCTGTGGTAAAACCATCTTTCTTCCTGTCATCAATTCAAAAGGTGACAATTTGGTAGCAGTGCTAGGTGTAGCTCTAATCGCCATTAAAACTAGGGGCAATTTAATGTCCCAGTCTTTACCAGACTCCTTAACATATTTCTTTAGAATATTAACGATAGACTGGTTATATCGCTCTACCCCCCCGCTAGACGCAGCGCGGTATGCAATATGTAGCTTTCGTTTAACACCTAGAATGTTCCACATCTTAGCCATTACTTCGCTGGTAAAATGACTACCTCTGTCTGACTCAATTCTTTGAGGCAGACCGAACCTGGAAAAGACATGGTTAATCAACAAAGTGGCGCACACGGTACTCGTGTTCTCTTTACAAGGCAAACATTCTATCCACTTTGTGTACATACATGTAACAGTTAACATGTATTTGTTACCTCTTGAAGATCTTGTTACAGGACCTATAAAGTCAATTTGAATATCAGACCAGGGTAATGACACCCCCCTCTTCTGAAGTGGTGCACGATGGGTTGGACCATGGGGTTGATATTGCGGACAAATCAAGCATCCCTGACAGTATGTCTTAACATCCCTTAACATGTGTGGCCAATATGCATAATCACGCAATATCTCATATGTGATCTTATCACCACGATGCCCAGATGTAGGTGCATCATGTGCGTGTTGGAGCATTAACCCTCTGTATACAGTTGGGACTACCCATTGTTGTATACCATGTTTAGAAGTTCTGACCAGTAACCCATCCATGATACTAAATTGGACTTTATATCTCATCAAGATTCGTAAATCTTCATTATCTTTGCAATCCTCATCTGTGATGGGATTGGCAGTAGGGTCTTCTATATGTTTATAGAATATACCTATGATGGGATCGTTCTTTTGACTAGTAATCAGGTCCTCACTAGGAGCTTCTTGACTCCATTGCACGACATTTAAGTCGGCATTATCTCTAGCCTGTCGTCTAGTTATGGCTTCAACATGAATTGAACCCATAAGATCATCAATGTTTAGGGTTTCACCATTGATGGCAGCTTGTTTTGCCAGTGAATCGGCTAAGTCATTACCATCCTTGTCAATACCTTCTATTTTAGAATGGCCTTTGGTTTTCTTCCAATATATGGATAAACCATTTTCCTTAACCAGTTCATCGATTTTACAAAACAATTTCCCATGTTTAACAGGTTTGTTATTGCTTTTCAGCATTTGGTTACGTTTCCAGCTAGGCAGATATTCGACGAAACTGTTGCGAACATAGTTGGAATCAGTTATAATAACAAATTCTTTGATACCATATTCTATTGCCATTTGAATGGTCTTATATACTGCACAGAGTTCGGCTATCTGACTGCTTTTGGGACCAATATTGTATCCTATAGATACATTAGGATAATCACCTGTCCAGGCGATTCCGATACCTGCAACTAACTTCCGTTCAGCACCAACGACGTGGTGATATGAACAACCATCAATGTATACCCACGGTAGTGGTCGACAGTATTCCTCGTCATAAACTTTATAAGGAGATAGCAATTGCTCTTCTAGGAAGTCATCTCCGGTGTCATTATCATCCAGAGATGGAGCAGTACAGTCATGTAATTCTGCTAAACCTTGGGCAACTGGGCTTCTCTTATTATGTTTATAACGGACTTCTAACGGCCATCCCTGTAAGGATAGAGTCCATGCAGTAATCCGACTGTTAGAGAGATTACCGTCTCTAATTCTTTCACTCTGCAGATACTGTAGAGGTTGGTGAGCTGTTTCTACAATTATTTTCTCACCTTGGATATAGCTACGAAAATTTTGTAGTGCCCAGACAGTCGACAATAACGCCTTCTCACACGTGTTGAATTTAACTTCAACAGGTGACAAAGTCTTGCTAGCATATGCAATAACTTTGTTTAAACTGTCCTGCTTCTGATACAGAACAGCACTTATGCTTAAATCTGAATATCCTGTCTCCAGATAGAAGGGTTTACCCCCCTCTGGGTATGCTAAACAGGGTGCCTGAGTGAGCTTCCTCCTCAGTTCACTTACCGCTTGGTCCTGAGGCTCCCCCCAGTTCCAGGTAGTTTCCTTTTTAAGCAGGTGTAAGAGTGGTTTAGTTATTTCTGCATAGTTATCTATAAACTTACGGGAGTAGTTAGTCATACCAAGGAACGATCTTAATTCCCTGATGTTTGAAGGTGTTTTAGCCTTTAGTACGGCTTCAACCTTCTTCCTCTGGGGATTTAATCCTTCAGAAGTTACCTCATGTCCGAGGAAATTGACATGGGTGCGACACCATTGTGCCTTTTGTAAAGACAGTTTAATCCCTGCCTCTCTTAACTGAGTGAGAACATGTCTAATCTCTAAGATATGCTTATCAAAGGAAGTGCTTTTCAGCAAGACATCGTCGACATATGATAACGTTCCTCTCTCGAGTGCGTCAGGCATAGCTTTATGCATGAACACAGCAAATTCATGACCAGAGTTTATGTAACCGAAAGGCATACGGGTCCAGGTATACTGCTGCTTTCCAAATGTGAAGGCCAATTTGTATTGGTCTTCATTATGGACTGGTACAGTCCAATATCCCTGCGCACAGTCAATGGCAGTGAATATTTTGGATCCCTGCATTTGTACCAAACATTGGTCTATGTATGGTGTTGGCCAACCAGACATATAGACGCGTTTATTTAGCTGTCGTAAGTCAGCGCATAAACGCCATTGTCCATTAGGTTTCAGAATCCCCAAGATCGGATTATTATACGAACTGTGCACTGGACGTATAATGCCCCTTTCCTTTAAATTCTGAATGATGTCTTGTAGACCATCATATGACGCTAATGGGAGTCTATATTGTTTGATAAATACAGGTGGTAAATTTGGATCAGTTTGTATTCTGGCTACGTGGAGGTTAGTTAACCCACAGTCGTAGGAATCTTTGGCAAAAATATCTTGGAATTCCAAAAGGATTTCCTTTAGCTGTTGCCGCTCAGCATCGTTGGAGCAACCGTCAGCTAAAGATATTTGCTCTTCTAGCCTTTCCTGAAATCCTGGAAAGATTTCAGGCTGGCCTATCTCATAAGCTTCTTCAAGCCTAGAAGTTAGGTCAGTTCGGTGTTGACTTACCTTTTCTCTTTGGTCGTGATACTCTTGTGATTCCTGCTCATTGAGCGGATGATCGAAGGTGATAGATGCTTCTTCGATTTTACACGAGCCTTCTTCAACATTGAAGGGATACACAGATAGGATAGTGAATAATCCTTCTGGGGAGGAATGGAATATTTGATCGACAATTTCGTCCTCAGTTAAGTATTCTTCAGGGATGAGGCCTATAATTTGGTTTTGGAAACCAAATGTATAGTACTCAGCATCCAATGCTAGACCTAATAATGTTCCTTTTGGTAAAGTAACACTATTGGGTGTAACATTCTTGACCATGATATAGGTGGGATTCTTACCAATACTTACCATTGGTGTATGTGTTACCACCATCCCTAATTGTTGTATCCTGTTGGATAAACAGATTAAGGCATCAGAGTTTTCCAATCTCTGACCCTCCTTGACCTGCAGGGGTAAAAGAAAATTACTTGCCCCCTGTGGAATGGTTATGTCATCAGGAACTTGGATACTTACCGCATATGGGAGTATTTGTCCTGATTTCAGGGCGTTTTCCTCGTGTAGGTATCCACAAGGATTACCTTTTAACCTTGTCCACAAGTTGGAATTAATCAGGTCAAGGTGTATGGCAAAGCGATGTATGACATCATTGCCAACGTAAACCTGATAGCGAGGTTCGTCTATCACTAGGAATAAATGTTTAACTGTCTTATTTCCGATGGAAATAGATAGTAAACATTTTGCTATCACATTGTGACTCTCTGATTCGCCATCCAAGTTCTGGATCCACCTGTCATGTGGGGAAGCGTACCTGATCATTTTAGGATTAGCGATCTGCTTTAACAGACTTCTGCTAATATAGCTGTTCTCACTCTGTAAGTCCAGCTTTGCATTCCTACTT